CTAGCCAGCACCGTCAGTGGTGAGGAATTCTGGAAGCTGCAGATCCAAAACCATCTGGAGGGCCCTCGTCGCCTCCCCCTGCACACGCACAGACATGTTTGGAAAGGGAGGAAGGAGGTGGTCCACTCCTGTTGTCTGAAGGGGGTGCTCAAAAGAGGAGTCCCCCTATGAACAACTCTTTGAAACCCCTTTGAAGAAGAGCAGGCCTCCACGTGTTAGAGACACCTTTCTTGTAAAACCTGTAGAAATGTGGAAGCATTTCATGCCTTGCATCTGAACAGAAGGGGGAGGGCGGGTGACTTTCCCTGGCGTCCCGGTTAACCGCCCAAGCGGCCCGACGTGTATTTCCAGAGCTGATGCAACCAAGATACGAGCGGGAGAAGCCCAGGTGGCTGCATTTTTGCCTGAGAGGATTCCTTCAGCCACGGGCACTGAACTGCATTTTTATTTTACTTTTCATCCATTGCAAAACCTCCCTTTGTTTCTCTGGTTTACAATCTAGCTGTTTGGCTGTAATTTCGCCCGGAAGCTCATTAATGGTCAAGCCTTGGGATTTGCGGAGTTCAAAGGTTGGCTGGGAGCAGGAGCTTTTAAAAAATGAAGCTTCCTGAAGCTGCGGCTCATTCATGGTCACAGGGCTGCCCACAGCAACGCTTCCCAGTCTGGGGGTTGTGACCCTCCCCGGCGGGTGCAAAGTGTTTTCTAGGGGGGACGCAGGGCACCTTGTATGTGTTGTGAAATCATTTCCTCCTTGACCTTTCTGAGCGGGATATGAAAGTTAGTGCGTATGTGTATATGTGAGAAACAGGCACTTTGCGGGAGAAAGAAGCCTCTGCTTTCTGAGAAGGGATCATTTTGCCCTGTTAAAAATGCCTTTGTTGCAAACATGGTGTGTGGGGGTCATGGGTTACTTGACAAAAAAAGGGGGGGTCACAACTCGAAACGGGTTGGGAAGCACTGGTCTGCATGATCTCCTGTCCCTCCTGTCTCTTGTTGGTTTACGTGATCCAAATTCTGCATTCCGGATCACCCGTTGTTAGAACCGAAATTTTATTCAGTGTTTCATACCTGAGAAAATGCAAAGCCCTTGTTTTAACTCCCGGGGCCTGCTCACAGAGCCATGCAAATCACAAAACAGCTATTACGTTCCATTTTTGTTGGCCATGGCGACCAGTCGCATTGGAAGGGGCCAAAACCTACTTGCTTCTCTGCATCGCCGAACTGACCTTTTGTGTGTGTGGTTGCCTCTCTCCTCTCCCACGCTGGCTGGGGCGTCCTTAGGTGAACGGCTGCCTCTTGGATCCAGTGCCCCCGATGATGGGGAGGAAGGGGTGCCAGTCCCTGCCGAGCAGCATGATGGAGACGTCCATCGACGAAGGGATAGAGACGGAGGGCGAGTCTGAAGAGGATCCCGCGCAAGCCTTCGCCGCCCTCCAGGCCACTCGGTGCGGGAAGAGGCGCCACACGCTGGCCGAGGTCACCAACCAGCTGATGGTCATGCCAGGCACAGGTATGGCCGTTGGGGGGGGGGGCAAAGTGCTCCAGGGTGGAGCTCAAAACAGGGGCCGGCACCAGCGGGTGGGCCTGGGTTCTCTCGTCCAGTTTTCTTCTAACATGGGCTAATGGGGGGGGGAATTCATGTTCCACATGGTAGAATATGAGGAATATCCCCATAATTCCAGCTGTTGGCATACCCCCAAACCAGAGGGCCCTGCGGCAGATCTCCAAGCCAGGAGAAGCAGAGTTTGGGAACGTTTGCTTGTTTTTGGAGGCTACGACTCCTCTTCCTCCTCCCAGCCTGGCCCACTTTTTTTTTTTACGAAGATACACTTGCAGAAGTGCATTTAAAGAATGCAGAATGCAGAAATACTGCAAGAGTGGCTTTGAAACCGCAGGCTGGCCTTTACATCTTGGTGGACTCAGCCGCCGACAAAGAGCAGCCCTCTGTGTATGTTTGGATTCCCTCGGGGCCAATGGTGGCTTTGCTGCATGGGTGGACGTACAGAGGGTTTCAGCTGGCTTTGCTCAGCAACCTCACGGCAGCCTGCAGAGACTGGGAAAAGCAAACAATGCAAGGGAAGAAGCCACCAGCCAGGGAGGGCGTTTAATACCCGGGGTCAGAAATGGAAAAATCCCCTAAAGAGAACACGTTTCTCCGTCATTCCTGGGCACATGGAAGGAGACTGCCCTCTCCCCTTGTGACCGGGACAGTGTCTTGGTTCTTACAGATACAGGATATGCTCCGTGCCTGCAGGCTTCCTGCCTCATTCCCCCCCCCCCCAAAAAAAAGCAGTGCGCTGTTTAGAAAACGTAATAATTCATGGTGGAAACATAGCAAGCAGCAACCTTTTGTCCCAGCTTGCCAATGAGCAAACAAGGCTCTCCGGGATGCATAGAAGTCAGGGCTGTAAAGCAGCGTGCAACTTTCATTGCATATTCTGTGTGTTGTCGATAGACAACTGTCCTACACTTGCCGTGTCAGTCCAGCTTACAGTCTGGTTATAAACAGGGTTAAGATTAAGAGCTCTCCAAGTGATGGATTGCATGCAGTGCATCTTTGATTCAGGCGTCACCTTCAAGTTGTCTGGGACGGCTGCGCCAGGATACAGAAAGGGGAGGCCGGAGTTTTTGTTTGTTTTTACTGAAGCAGAGAAGGCTGGTGGGCTGGAGCAGGCATCCTGTCCCTCCTCTCCCCTCTGAAAGCCAGGGTTTCTTCCGCTTCTCCCATGTTGGGAAGCAACCTGTTGACTGGAGCTTCGCCTTTGAGTGGATCTGAATGCAGGTGCGACCGAAACAGAGAGAAGGAGGAAGCAGCAGGCCAAGCCGTTTCTCAAGTCGGTTGCTTTCTGGAATGATGCAGACATGACGGAAGTAGCACAGACCTGGGAAGCGTTGCTGTTAGTGTACTTGAACATCTGGAATTCCCCAGGCAGCCTCCAGCATCTGGAATTCCCCAGGCAGCAGGCCTCCAACTTCTGTTTCAAGGGGGGGGGGACTCCGGCTTCTCATTCAGACCGTGCTTTGCAGCCATTCCTCCCCAATGCACCCCATCTGGTGCAAAATGGCTCCCCTAGCCTCATCGTGCGCCAGCCTTGCCCGAGGGAAACAAGGCTGTGCAAGTCGTGCTTTCCAGTTTCGTTCTGATTCCTTGGCCGCCTCTTCCCACCTTTGAGTTTTGCCCTCCCAAGAAAGAAGAGGACAGTCTCGGTCATAAAGTGGTCCATTTACCTGCATTTTTAAAAAACCAGATAGTATGAATTTCCTCTGGGTGGTCCACGTGCCAGGCAGTGCCAACTCACCCGACCCTTTTTCTGGTTTTGCTGTATTATAGTGCGACTCAGAGATCACAAGATCTGGAGCTGTTTTGTTGCTGCTAGTTTGTAGGCCTTGAAGTGAGTCCCAGCTGTATATACATACATTGAGAGAGAGAGAGAGCGTTGTGTGCAGCTGCTCAAGCGGCTTGGGTGAGCATCTGTTCATTCTAAGCCCTGTTGCTTTTTTCCTGGACTTTAAAGGGAAGGCCTTCCCCATGGATGAAAACCAATCCTTGAGCAGTGTTGACTCTGAATACGATATGGGATCCACCCAGAGGGATCTGAACTTCCTGGAAGAGACCCCGTCCTTGAAGGAAATGGTCCTTACCAATCAGCCAGCTCCTAGAATAAACCCTCCCTACATTGGTCTGAGGCCTACGAACCCTGCCATGCAGGCTTTGACGTCCCATAAGCGAGAGGCCCACAACCGGTCGCCGGTCAGCTTCCGAGAGGGGCGCAGGGCATCGGATACATCGCTGACACAAGGTAAGCGCCCTGGACAGGCCTGGTGGGTTTCAGCCAAGCGTTTTGCACTTGGTAGTGGTGCAGTTGTTCATGTCACAGAACCTAAAGGTTTAGTACACTAGGTGGGCACTGAAGTAGTTTGGTTAGAGTTTTTTACCCCAGATTTCCCACTGCTCCCTTTCCAAAACCTGCTGTTCTGTAGGTCCCAAGACCGCTGGATTGCTCTGTGGTTTAAGGCCTCTGGCTGCAGAGCCAGAGGTTGGGAGTTTGATTCCCCCCCCCCAACTGGGAAGGGGGAATGGATTTCATGATCCAGAGGGTCCCTTCCATCTCTGCAGTTCTAGGATTTCAGTATTTCAACTCTGTTACTCCACCATGGTTACTTTGGAGCAGGGGGAGGTGAATGTTGCTGACACTCAGCCACACCAGCGCCTCATCAGGCAATTCTATACATGTCTACTCAGGATCTAATGACTTCATTGAGGCTTTTTCCAGTTAAGTACGCGTGTAGGATTATACATTTACTAGCGTCATGTTAGCCAAACCTGTTAGTATTTACGGCGTGTACGGTTGCACATAAATCTTGCTTTACAAAAAAGTGGGTGGTTGCACATCCACGTGTGCCTGCGTGCGGGTGCTGAAAGCACACCTCCTGGAACCCAACGAGCAGCCGCTCAATGAAATGTCGGTATCTTCAGCGGGGAGCTGCAGCACTTTCACAAGCGTCCCCGAAGGACTCGAGACGACGTTTCTTCTAAGCCTCGTTTCCCGTCGTGTCCCATCCAGGAATCGTAGCGTTTAGGCAGCACCTTCAGAACCTGGCCCGAACCAAAGGAATCCTGGAGCTGAACAAAGTCCAGCTGCTGTACGAACAGATGACGTCGGAGGAGGAACCTGCCCTGGGGTCGGCTTCCCCACATTTGCAAGACCTTGGAAGTGGTCCCCACCAGGTAATAGTTCCCCTTGGGGCGCCGCTTTGTCTGCCTGGAAACCATGCAAGAGTGGGGAAAAACATATATACATTTTTTGACCCGTCGAAACGAAGCTGTTCTTGGATGGCAGTCCAGTCGGTCGCCCGTTCCAGCCAGGAAGCCTGTGATGCCTTTTCTCATCTTTCCTTTGGTTTTTGTGGGAACGGTCTTTTTTAATTTCACCCCTCCCTCCTGCATTTCAGCCCTGGAGGCTGGAATGAAGGGTGTTTACAAGAGTGTGGGTGTTAGAGGGACTTGGTAGATCTGAGTGTTCTTTAGTAGCAGAATTTGGGAAACTTAGCTTTTCGGCACGACCCCCTCCGGAAAGATCCAGGCAGCACAGCCAGCTTCTAGGACTGTTTTAAAAGAGAGAGAGAGAAAGAGGATATTCAGTTTTTGTAAAAGTAAGAAGATCCTCTCGGGCCAGGCAAGTGCAGCCCTGGAGATGAGGTCCTGGAGCCCAGGGTGACCCACTAGGCTGTGGTTTAGGCTGCTCAGACTCCCTGCCCCCAGCAGTGCCTTTCCCCATCCAGAAACCTCCAGGAACCGCAGTTCGCCTTGTAGATAGGTTGCAGTGCTTTCTCTCCACTGCCTCACTTGGGAGCGGGCTTCTGATTGCTTCTGGTTTGGTTTTGTGGGTTGTTTGGTTTGGGGGGGGGGAGAGAGAGAGGGTCTCCACCCTCACTTCTTCTTTTCCTTCTTCTCCCAAGGAGGAAGCACCCTCGCAGCCGGACGCGACTTCCGCTTTTCCGAATGGCCTGCACCCCCAGTTGCTCTCCAGGCGACAGAGCTTAGAAACACAGTATTTGCAGCACAGGCTCCAGGTACCGTGCCGCCTTCTTCCGGAGGGTTCAGCCCACCTCCAGGAGGGGTTGCCGTGGCCCCTTCTCTCCGGCCTCGGTTCTGGTGGATCAGGGCATCTCTCGCCATCTCTTCTCCAGCTGGCGGGGAAGTGGGCCTTGCACCAACGTTTGGGCTGAGCCCCCGGCATCGTTCTGGGAAGCGTGGCGCTGCTGGGCTGGCCGCCAGGCTCCGCTTGGACTGTGCACTGTTTGCGCCAAAGCTTTGCTGCCAAACGGTCGCCACAAAGCAACCGCCGCTCTTCCTTTTCTCCTCTTTCCAGAAGCCGAGCCTGCTTTCCAAAGCCCAGAATGCCTGCCAGGTGTTCTGCAAGGAGTTGCCCCGGAGCCTCGAACAGCAGCTGCAGGAGCACAGGTCAGCCCGGAAGCAGGCCCTGCAGCTACGGGGCCGTCACAGAGGGGGCCGGGCGGCTTGGTCCAGGTGGCCTGAGCCGGCAGAGGATCAGCAGCAGCCCCCAGGAAGGGGGCCCGGCTCCACAGCATGACCCACTGGAGCCTGCCTGCCTTGGTCTTCCCCGCCCCTCTCTGCCCCAGGGTGCAGAAGCAGCAGCAGCAGGAGGAGGACTGTTCTGAGCAGCCACTCTCCAGTGGGTGGAGGCCAGGCTATGCAGCCGCCCTGTGCAGCAGGACAGGAGGTCGTTGGCCAGTGTCAGGCCCCCTGTTCCCCTTATTGGCCAGTACCTACCCTGAGAATCCTTTGGCCTGGCCGGTCACCCCTGCCTGGGGGCGTAGATATTCCCTGATTCTCTTGAGTGGGTTTAGGAGAAGGACCTTGGCTGCCCCAGATTCCACAGAACCAAGGGCAAAGGGAGGGATGAGGCCAAAGCGCCCTGGATTGGGGGCTGAGGACGGGGGCCGGAAGGGACCAGCCGGAGAGTGCAGGGCGCCATCTCCCGTTCGCCCTCCTGAGCAGCCGTGCCCAGAATCAAGTGGGGAGAGCCAGCCTTCTGGAGGGGAAGGGCAGGCATCAGCCTCTGCTCCTTGCTGTGGGTTTCACATCTCACGGTTGTCCTACTTTGCAGATCTGGACCACTTTCGGTCAGAACAATATCATTCTCTGTTAAGGCTCCTTTCTCCTCACTTTCCGTTTTTAGTTTGTGCTTAGAAGGGTGCCCTGTTCTTGAGGGGGGGGATGTCTTGGCTCCCCCATTGTTCAAGGAAGGAAGGAAGGAGAAGGGCTTCCTCAGCGGCATGTGAGCGAGGGATGAGCTTCTCACTCCTGGTTTCGAGGTGGCGGGTCGAGCTGGTGGCCCTCCTTCTATCCCCTCCCCCTGACTGGGACCCCCGAGAGCCTTTCTTGCTTCAGTCAGGAGGGGGATAAAAAGTTGTGGGTTTTAGGAAAGGCTGAGCCGCTGTTCCTTGCTCTTCCTTGTCCGATCCAGGCTGCACCAGAAGCGGCTCTTCCTCCAGAAGCAGTCCCAGCTGCAGGCTTACTTCAACCAGATGCAGATCGCAGAAAGCACCTACCCCAGGCCGAGCCAGATGCCTCTCCCCTGCCACGAGGACCAGCCCCCGCCCCCGTTTGGCCTGGTGCAGCCCCTGAGCCCGGTCATGGAGCCGTCGGCCGAACACATGCAATACGACCCTTTCCTCGGCCAGTACCAGAAGCTGCCGCTGGAGCCGGCCCCCTCGCCTGCCATCCACAGCGCTTCTCGGTTGGCCTCTCCCCTCCCGATGCAGCCGCCACCGCCGCCACCGTATCCCTACCACCCCTGTGAATTGCCAGCGGGCGCCTCGACGGAGCGCGACTACGCCCACCCACACCCGTACGCCCTCGACCCTGCCCAGCAGAGCGGCAGTGTAGCCATGAGCGAGGACTGCCGGAGTTCAGAATCGCCGGGATCCCCGTCCAACTACGAGGCGCTGGGCCTGGCGGAGCTGCCGGGGCTGTTTGACTGCGAAATGATGGAGGCCGTCGACCCTCAGCACGGAGGCTACGTCTTGGTGAACTAGCGGGGCCGGGGAGCGTCCCTCTGGGGGAAGCGACAGGCAGACCACGTGGCGTGGATTTCCACTTTTGTTTTCTCCCTAAAACGTATGGCTTTAGTTCCCAACTCTTGACCTGAATGGATGAACCCTCTTGAATAGGTACTAGCCGGGAATGACGTGAGTCTCGCTCTGCAAGCAAGCAAGCTTGGCCGCAGGAGCTGGGGAGAGGGGGTGCGGCACTTTCAGCGCAAGGAGGAACTTGCAGTCCTGCCACTTCGAAGGGAAAGACGCAGCAAATGCCCTGGCAGGAAGAGGCGGGAAGAGGCTCAGCCTTCCAGGATCACTGGTATTCCGTTAACCGCGTGGCCCCTCTCACAGGAGGCCAGGCAGAGTGGGAAGAGAGGAGTGGGAAGGACGCAAACCTTACTTCTTGGCAATAAAAGCAATACCTTTTTCCCTTGGAACTCAGCAAAGACGGGGGTGGGGGTTGACGTGGCCGCTCCGCCTCGGAGCTGTGGGCAGATGACTCGGCAGCAGCCGATCCTCAGAGGACACACACACGCCGCCTCCTGATGTCTTTGTTCCCTTCTCTGGCCTGGAGGCTCTTTCCAGGGAATCCCAGTTTTTTTCCCCCTCTCTTGAGTCCCTGGATTGTGGGTGCAAAGGACTGTCCCTCTGTGTTTGGGGGAGGGGGCAGGGGGAGCGACGGCTCCCCTCCAAGCTTTCCTTGGCATGATGTGTTTTGCGGGTTCCTTTGAAGATCTGCAAGCAGTGGAGAAGGGGAAGGGAAGGGAAGGGGGGGAGAGGCTGCGAGGAAAAAGAAGTTGATCACTGGAGAAGTTCTTATAAGCTGCCCGCCCTTGCTTTTCTATTTTAAAACAGGCAACCGTACTTGGACTTGACAGTGTGCGTTGCTGGTGGTTTCTTAGGCTTTGTGTATTTGGACAATTATTTAGGGATGTAGCATTTTAAGGACAATACAGAATAAGCTTATCGGAACACCCATGTGAAGTGATAGTGCCGTGCCTTTTTCGGGTTCTTTTTGGAAACTCTCTTCCTTTGCGTTACCTCCCCCCGACCCACCTCCACCTCCAAAGTAGAAAACGCCCTGTTCATGTCCAGCGCTGACACCAAAGTCTCTTCAGAGCCCAAGTTCCACCGTGTGGAGCGCAAGCGTCACATTTTTCCTCGAGCGTTTCTGACCTGTTCACCCGATGATCAATCTCTGAAATGTTAAGAAGTATGACAGCAATATTCAGGATCAATGACTGTTGATTTGTGAACCACTTCAACAACCGTCTGCTCTCTACCGAACCGTTGGCCTCGGCTTTTGTGGGGGCGACGGGCCAGCTGCGAACCCGTAGGAAGAAGACAGAGGGTCCCTGAGAAATGTCACGGGCGAAGGTTTCTTTCCCCGCCGTCCGCCCCCCCCCCCCGGCTGCGACCGTGTCAATCAAGCAAAAGCGCTTGAGGATCCAGCCCCCTTAGGGGCAGATGAAGATTTAAGCACAACACTGATTTTCTCAAGCACAAAGAACAATTTCCTCACAGCGTTGACTGTCCGGATCCATGGCAAGCCGAAGCCGCCTTGTCCCGAAGGCCTCCAGCCTTAGTCCTGGCTGGGCTGTACCGCTTCACACGGCAGCTGTCACACCCAGCGCTGGCCTGCCCGGTTGCTGGTTCGCAGCTGCTACCTTGCTAAAAGCAGTCCAGTAGTTAAAAGAGGGCATGCAGTGCCGCCAAGGCGACATCCCTCCACACACATAGAAGACACACATCCTCACTGGGGCCCTGCTGAAGTAGGACCGGTTTCTCCAATTCTGCACCAAAAAAGCCCCCCCCCCGTCTGCACCAGAGGACTCCCTGGTCAGTTCTCTTGTTTGACACCTAGCACACCTGCAGTTTGAAATGGCACGGCCCAGAGGCAGGTTCCCTACCTGGCTGAGGACGGGGCCTCTCTTGAGGGGGGAGGCTTTATCCATGCACGGTCATACACAGACCCTTTCCTCACCCCCACCCCAGTCCCATTTTGGCCGTTGCGCAGGGCATTCCCATGGGGCGACACTCAAGGCAGAGTCTGGCCTCGTGGCGTTCTGCCTTGCAGGCGATCCTTGCAGCCCCGCTTGCTCGAAAGGAGGTCCTCCAGATGTGCCAGCCATGGCTTTTTGGGGGGGGATTCTGGGTGTTCTATGCCAGCACCGCTGGAAATGCCCCTGGGATGCGAAGGGTCCTTTGGCCTCCAGATGGCCTTTGCCAGGCAAGCCAGTTCAGAGTCACACCCAGATGTCTCCTTGTAAACCTTGGCCAGCAGCAGCAGCAGCCTTTGGCCCGTATTCAGTCCACCGTGGCTTTCTACTGAAGGCATCACAGCACATGGGCTAATGGTAGCCCAAACCTTTTTTGGGGGGGCTGAGGATCCCTTCTAGGCCTCGCGTTGCCCACCGACACGCTTAGGGAGACCCTCAAGCCATTTCCTGTCGTTTCCGATCCAGGGAGAGAGAGGTTCAAACTCCCGCTGTCCACCTGCGGGTCCTCCTTGGCTCAACGCAGGCGACTCTCGGTGCGAGGTTAGAGATACTGACCTGCTTGAATCAGGGATTCTTGCCAAGGACAGACGAGTCGGCCGCTGAAAGGTTACTCCTTGGGGACTCCCCCAGCTAAATGGGCCCTCCTGGCAGGGAGATTCTGAGCGCTGTCGCCCACTTCTCTGACACTCAGGGCGACCAACTCCTGCCTTGGAGTGGCTGAGACCTCCCTGGCACACCACGGCTGCCTACGGCTGCCCCGATGCTACCCCGGAGGAGCACCACAGGCAGCTCAGCCGAAGGAGTAACAATGACGGACCCACATTTACGACACAGGAGGAAACATCATTTTTGCGGCTTTGTGCCTCAGCTCGGTGGGCGCAGAAGCGCTGAATGTAAACCGAGAGCCGATGTCTCCCCCGCCCGCCCCCTTCTGCTTTGACAGCCTGTGTCCCCGAGCATTCGGGGACTGTCCCCCTCCTGATCGGGGAAGTCCTTCCTTCCTAAGCCACATCCGCCTGGCCCTCCAGCACCGCCCCCCCCCTCCGTATTACCGCTCCGTCAAGATAGCCGCTTCTGTCAAGTCTCCTGTGTCTGGTGTTAGAGGATGTGTGTGTAGACTACTGTATATCCACAACTAGCTTTATTAGTTCTGACACAGGTTCCTTGGAAGAGACTTTGGTGAGATGAACATGTACATGGGGGTCAAAACGACATTTTTTCCTATGGAGACAAGTGCAATATATGTGTGTGTGTGGTACGTTCTTTAATGTATTTTTTTTTTTTAAAAAGAGAGAGTTCAGAGGGTTTTAGTCTTCACTTAGGAAGAACTGCACTAGCTGTGTGGGCACCGGTCCGCGTGTGTCTCTCTGTAGTCTTTACCTGCAGTTGGTATGCTGGACTCTGTAAAAGCAATGACAGTGTATTAAGGCGAAATAAAGAACGTGGGCCTTCTGTTTTTTAAATTTTGGGCAAGCTGAGGCAGCCTCCTCTGTTGTTGTTGCGGCGTGCTTGTTGTGGGGTGGCCAGGAGGAGCCACCCTCTCTCGACGAGGGGCTCTGGGCGCATCCTTCCCGAGTGGCGCTCTGCGGTTGATGCACAAAATGGTGCAAGTTGCATTGGTTTCCATCAGGGAAGAATATCTGTACGTTAAGGTCTGCCCATCCCAAAATTCAACCTGTGTCACACACATTCAGACACACATACATCATTGATGCTGGTCATTTCCCTCACCCAGCAACTTTTTCCCCTCAGGCTTGGGTGTCCAGGTGCACCCTATAAAATGGACCAGGCACAACATCCCAAGGAACCTTTTTTTTCCTCCTCCCAGGGCCGTCCTTCAGCAGAGAATCCAGCTGCGTTTCGATCCGTGTCACATCTGCCGGCCTCGGGAGGGAAGGGAACAAGTCGCCCGGCAAGGTGTCAGAGGAACGATGCGCCTCGCCTGGCCCCTGCCCCGCCCTCCCGTTAGGATATGAATAATTCAGTTTGCTGTATGGGTCGGGATTGCAGATTAATTCCGTAGGTTAATTAGGGAGAGCTAATCGTATTCAGATTTACTTGCACAGAGCATTACAGAGCCTTGCTTTGTGGAGAAATCATAAGCTAATCAGAAGGTCTGTCTAAGTTAAGATCCGAGATATTTGATCAGCAACATCTGAGTACAGTTACATAAGATGTAACCTTTCTCTCCTTTAAAGAAACTGAACTTGAGAAACAGAAAAACCAGGATCAGCACGGAAAGAAGCATGAACAGTGGAGACTCGGTACAGGAGGGTCACCCTGGAGCAGGTTAGATCGGCAGTGAATTTGAGCCGAGGAAGGTTACGTTTGTGTTTCTCACAGTCCTCGACCACAACCAGAGGAGGCAACAAGCCAGGTGCTAACTGATGCTCTTGAATCAGTGTAACTTGAACACAAGTATCCTTTGCTACCTGTAGCAGGGAGTTCCACAGTTCATGGATTATGAGAACCTAGGGAGCGGCCTCGTGCCTTGGTCTTTCCAGCCCAGTCTTGACAACACTGACTTAACAGCGGCTTTCCAAAGTAGGAGTCTTCCCAAACCTCACCTAGATACTACCGGTGTTCCCGGGGGGGGTGTGTGTCTCCCATCCAAGAATAAACCAGCCCTGGCCGTGCTTGGCTCCTCAAACCAGTCACAATGAGAAGCCCTAAGGGGGCCCTTCGTGCTTTCGGGAGATTAATTGGGCTTTCAGATTACACTCTGCGTGTAGGAGCAGCTCATAGGGAACAGCCACATGTAGAGCAATATATGATGCATTTTCAGTTAGAAATTGTGGAAAAGCATAGAAACCCACTTCTTCCCCTCTTCCTCCAGCTAGTCTGATGAAAAGATCGGGATTGCTCCAAAGCTTGCGTGGCATTTTGTGACCTTTCCACAGTGACCTAATAAAAGCTACCGCCCTGATCGCAGTCCGTCTGTGCGGCATGTGACAGAACGGCTTAAGGATGCCAAGCTTTTGCCAGTGAGATAAGAACGTGCCCCGCCACCCTCACCCCCCTTGAAGTTTGCATTTCGGGGCCTGGCCGTGGGCTGCTCTCCCTGCACCAAAGCTCTTTCCCATCCGAGCAGCGGCTGGCTTTCTGATGCAAGACAGTGTCTTACACCCAAAAAGCTTGGAAGTGCTTCCCACCCACCCCCCTTTTTTTTGTAAAAACAAGCCAACAAACCAGATGTGGCAGAACACAGTGTTGTTAGCCGCTCAGAGTGGTATAGATGCCAGAGCACAGTATGTAAGCAACGAGGGACGGAACTGGAGTAAACAAGCCTCAAGAAACTTTTGAGTTACTTGCACAATCTGATCCCTCCGTAGCTGGAAGAAGAAAAGACAGGATGTTCTGTGACATGTTGTTGGCTAGCCTGGCGCTCCGTTTGGGGAGGCAGCTTTTCGAAGAGGAAAAAAAGTGCTAAAATCAGGTTTCAGGTGGAAATCGGAACCTCTGAGGCAGGCGAAGGCCAAGCGCCTCCTCCCTCCAGATGTGGATCGGATCTCGGACCCCATTTGCCCCAGCCAGCACAGTCAGCGGCAAGGAATGATGGGAGTCGTAGTCCAGCGGGCTCTGGAGTGTCTAAGGAGAACAGCCTGTCTTGCTTTGTCCGGGTTCCGTGTTCCGACAGCCCCATCGTCTTGCGTTTGAGCCTGCTGCTCTTGAATCCTCTCTGTGTTGAGAGATGGGCTCATAGGATAGTGTCAGAGCATGAGTTTTGGAAACCTTTCCTTGTTTTAAAATATACATATATCAAACAGAAATTGCTGCATCCGTTGTAGCTGATGCTGTCAGGGGGACAGGTTGCAACGGGCAGGAACACAATGAAACGAAACAGCGAAAACGGCACAGAGTAGAGCTGCCCCTCGAAAATCCAAAACAAAGCTTTTTTTTATTTGTGCACACACCACCCAGGCCGTGTGCATTGTACACGGAAGGGTTAGCTGTATTGAAGCCATGAAAAAGGATCAGGTGTCTCGTATCCTGGAGGTTTCCAGAGAGAACAGAAGCAGGGAGTGCGCTCCCAATGACGTCAGCTGGGTAAATGATACCATGCTTTGAAATAGCCTGTGTATACATTACCCTTTCAGCCGAGGCCCTGCCGAGGCCATCTGCCGGCAAAGAAAGCGACGCAGACCAGATGCCGCTTTGTTTTGATTTGATTTGATTGACTTTTTGGAGATGTCGGATCTTTTTGTGCGAAGCCAAGCGGGAATTGGAAGGAGCCGGGGGAAAAAGAGCAGGAAGGCCTGCAGCCTGGCAGAAGAAAACTTTGGTGAGGAAAGCAAAGGGTGTTTGTTTCTCAGGTTGCGTTCTAGGCTTCTGCACTTACTGGGTAAACGTTGGTCGGACCCTTTGGCCTGCCTCCCATTTCGGCCTCTTATTCATGGCACATGTCCGTCTCTTTGGCCTTGATTGGGAGTAACTCACTCCCTGGGATGCTTTTAAAAAATCTTTCTCAGCCCCTCGAAGCGTTCAAAGCAACCCTCCTGGAAGTAGAACAAACGGAAGCCAAAGTAACATCTACTCCATATTGGCTCCTGAGGAGCTGGGGACGTGCGTTTCGTAAGGCTGGAACCTGTGAAGTTATTCATTTGGAACTGGTTTACATACCAAATTTGCAAGGTGGGATACAAGCGGCTGCGGCCGTTAAAAAGGTGGATTCTCCCCCTGCCCTGCAGTTGTCCCATATTACGAATCCCATTTATTACTTAAGAGTAGGATGACCACATACCCTGTTTTAGCAAGGGTTGTCCTCCATTGGGCACCAGAGAATTGCTGCAGGATAGTCTAAGGTCTCCTCTGTTTCAAGGACTGTCCAGTCCACATCTGATTAAGGCAGAACCAGAAGGAAGAGTGGGAACCCTTTAAGGTCTCCATCACCCACAGGTAAGAACACCTGAGCAGCAGGTACACAGGTCCGCTGGTTGCTGTCTTCCCAGCCCAGCTGAGATCTGTGGCGTTCTGTTTAAATAACTCATAATTTTGTATCTGTACCTATAAATTTGCATATACGAATTCCTGCAAATCGATGCCCTTTCTTGTCCTTGGGGGCTTTAGTGGCTATCTTAGCGATGCAGCCTTCCTCTTGAGCTGCTGGGGGGCATGAGGTGCCTGCCCCCTTCTCTGCAGCAAGAAGCCCTTTGGGGAAAGAGGAAGGGTTAAATCCGGCACCGTTGCCTTCCCTTCACCATTTCTTCTGCCGCTAATTCCTAATTCGCCTCAAACTTCCCACAAGTGACAATCACCTTGGCTGACGTGTTGACATGGCAACTGCTTCAAGGAGATGCGCACTCACCGGGCGCACTCAATCAGCTCCCTCCTGGCCCGCAATCACCTTGAGCGAGAGGAGGCACCTTCCACCGCCCCCTTTCTCTCCCCCCATTATGGTTACAGCGGTGCCTTGATTAGTGTGAATAATGCATCGCTCTTCCTTTCGTGCAGCGGCCGCACGATGCGCACAAAGGCCCAGCCTCGCATGAACAGATTTCCTGCTGGGAAGAATTCCCAGAAGGACCTGGCAGGGGGGAAAGTACCCATTCCTATTCAGAGCTGAGCTCCTTGCACAGGATGGATCCTTCCCTAATTGTCTTGACCCATTTTGGGTCTGTTCAGTGATCCAGCTTGCAATGAAAGTCAGAATAGCTGGTTCGACCCGGGCAGAATGGTCATCTTATTGTTGTTATACCGGGGTGGATCGGGTACATTGACACTAAGGATTCCAGTCACCCGGTAAGGCAGGCCCAAGTTGCCACCTGATAGCAGCAGAGGAGGGTTCAACGCCTGCACTCACAGCATGGGCCAAATTTGAGTCTGAACTCCCAGTTCGTGCACCAACTCCGGAAAGGTGGTGACAGGAGATTGGAAGAGCAATGAAGACCAAGAGCGTTGGGGGTGGGGAGGCGATTGAGAGACGGCGTCTTCTCTCCTGCTGCTGGCCGACAGCTTTCAAGGCTGAGCCCCTTCCATGGCAGAAGGTACAGAGTCCGTCCTCCAGAGGTGAGCTTGGATCTGTGAAACCAGAGGCAGCCGCGTGGCCACCAGGCTCAAGAGCTGGGTTGTCATCCATCCGGTCCGTCTCTCTGGTCCTTGACACCTCCTCTAAAGAAAGGGCCGTCAAGCCTGCTCTGTGGGTCTGTGCATGCAGTGTGTTGTTCTTTGCACTGTTTGCCAGGGGCAGAGGCCATGCGTGCCGCAGCACAAGGACTTCCCCCAGGGAATGATGGGCAGGCGGCCCCCGTTTCCTCTTCGGAGGGTCAGGCAGGATGGAGCCGAAGGCAGGGCTGATGGATCGGGCCCAGCCCTGTAGGCTGACCCGCAGGACTTTGGGTTCGGGTTCCTCCTTCCTCAGCCCCCTCTCTTCCTTTTTGCTCCCTTCTGAGGTTGGCTGCTGCCTCCGAGGGGGTCCGCGCGCAGCCACCATTTCCTGCCAGCACAGCAGCATTGACATCAGCCG